TTTCCCTACCAAAATTTGTTCGTGGAATTGGAAAGGATAATAATGGTTTTCTATACGTTCTATGTTCCAGTACCAATTCAAAAGTTTTAAAATTTGATGAAGACCTGAACCCAGTGCGAAAAACAAATAAGAGCTGTGCAGAACATTTTGGTGTGGCGTATGGAATTTTGGTGACTGATGAACATGTTTTTGTTTGTGCACGCGCTAACCAAAAGGTATGCATTTTGGACTTGAACCTGAATCTTCGGTATTTCTTGAATTTATCTTTTGAACCTATTGGAATTACGAAGCTTAATGACAAGTATTTCGTTACCACTAAAGCTGCTATTGGAATCCTGGATTTAAATATTAAAAATATGAAATTTAGAGAGAAAAATTGCGGGAAAATGAAGACTGGTCTTAGTACTGAACAGTTCAAACCTGGAATCGCACTCCGAGGAATATGTTCTGATAACCAATACTTATATGTGACAGAGAGAGATCAATCAAACGGAGGCCGCATTTTGTGTCTGCATTACCAAGGAAACCAGTTGATCCTCAACTACTTCTATCCAACTTCTTGTCGTGTTTGCCAGTCAGAGAAGTGCTGCCCGATTGTAATTGTTCACCATAATGGCACAATAATTTACAGTCAAGGAAGTTGGGAACGCAAATTTCACATTCGAAGATTAGCATATGATGGAACAACAGCTACAAGTGAGCTAATTATTGACGTAGTGTGATATATGCCAAACAGAAACAGCACTAGTTAGCTAGTAGTTTTAAGTTTTAGGGTTTTTTTCTTGACCAACTGTACAAAAGCAAAATTACACAGCTCAGATGCTAATACTAGAACAAATGCCACGCATTTTCGGTGAGCGAGCATCAAAAGTACATATTTCGCACATATGATTAAATTACGTGTTCTCCCCCCCACTTTTCATTAATGGGATTAAGGGATGGTATAAAAAGAAAGGGAGACAAGACAAGGATGGGATACATGAAGCATGGTTAACGAATTGAGTGTGCTGACACCTCCGACCCCATCACACAATCCTTATTATACACAACTATGGAAGCACAGTTGTTCTCGAATAAACAATAATATGGCTGACAGAAAAGTTACTGCAAAGAGCCCTAGAATGATACTAGTAAACCACACAGAAAGCAGGCTTGGCATGGTGTAGGTTGGTTTCAATAGTGTACATGTGCTGCATCATACAAAATACATATAGTCCAAGTTGTTAAGAAGGTTGGCCGGCAACAATGGTATCAACACTGCAAGGTGCCTGCACATGTACAGAAACAAAATGCAATGATGAAGAATAACACTCCTCCTTGACTGGCAAAACAGGCAACGCCCCCTAGCCACACTCATAAATAATTATGATGCACACACATAAAGAATTGCATATGCATTTCTGGCAGCAACACCATAACAGCCTCTCTTAAGCCACATAATTCGTGAAATACGGAGAGAATACGGAGGTAGGGCCGAGTCTGAGTGTCACGCAGAAGAGCAACACCAACCCCATGCAGAATCAAGCTTCCAATCATTAAACATGTATATAGTGTACGTAAGACACAACTTACTGAGGAGAGTGCTGCTCTATTCGACCTCTCAGAATGACGTGGCCAAGATACTGACTCAGCAAAGTGAGACAGTCTGCAGCTGCTGCCTTTACCAGTGCACTGTCACTGGCCTAGGGGGGAAGTTTTGCAGGGAAAAATTAGTCAATTAGTAATGGCCCACCAAAAAATTGGGCCACCCAAGGTCGGAAAACACGCCACAATGAGAGAGAGAGAGAACTCACGGCTCCATAGAAAATGGTGTCGATGAAGAGCTCGAGATGTCTCTTGAAGGGTCTCTTCCCGAGGCCCCTGGCCAGGTGGGGGAGTCTGTGGAGGAGGGTCTCCAGGAGAGACAGGTGCTGGCGGTACCCGTGGTGACGGGCCACCTCCCCCAGGGCCGGCAGGAGGGAGGACACCTTGTCCCCCATCCCCTTCTGTTGACTCAGCTCTGCCAGCAGGTGGATACATCTAGTGTATGGAGAGGAAGAGAGAGGGGAACAACAGAACAAAATGTGAAGAGTATGTACACATGTAAGGATCTAGTAGGTGGGGCTTGGATTAGAGTAACAGATAAGCAAGACCACAACTTGTTTTGTGCAACTGTAGTACTGACCCCTCAGTCTTCTCCCAGGGTTCAGCTGGTCTCTGGAAGTGAGTGTCCATACATCCACCTCTCCTCATCTTGGGAGCCAGAGACCCACACGAGTACATCTGACAACACACAAAACAACACACCACCTCACACATGTAATCTCTTCAGAAAGACATGGGAGAAATCTGTATGTGGTTCATAAGACTGCTTACCCCTGAGTAGCCCGCCCACATATGTTTTTTAACAGAGAAAGTGTGTAGTAGAGGAGAGAGATGGAGAGGTCAGACCTGTTGGTCTGTGTGGGTGGGGTCATCCAGGGGGATGTCATTCAGTCTCTGGACTACTCCAAACACCGCAGGTCTCGGGTCCAGTCCAGGGTGTCTGAGAGGACACAGAATTTACGTGTTTGGCTCTCACACATGATGTTGTAGACAATGCATGCATACATACAAAAAGAGTACAAGGGTTAAGAGCAACGTCCACTCAATTTGTTGGCAGCCGGGAATACACGCTAACTAGTTGGCTCTCACACACAACGATGATGCAATGTGTACGAACCATTCGCACCGCATATAGTCAACATGTTGTATAAGCAGCATACATGCATTGTCAGGCAACAGGGAAACAACCGGGATAATCCCCAACTCTTCACCTACACACCACACGACATAGCCTATTATGTCATGGAGCAGATGAGACAATCAACTCAAGTTCCTACAACGTGTTCCCATACATTACGTGTGAATGTGATAGAGAAGTAGAATATAGAACCTTGTACCTGGAGTCAGTGAGAGGCTGGGTGGCAGCCAGAGGTATTCTCTCTTGAGTACTGACATCACCGTCTCCTCCACCTCACTCCTGTATTACTACACACACACATGGGACACACCTAATGTGTAGTACACATTAGTACAGTTGTTTATACCATAGACGGATGACGAGAGTGGAGAGAGAGGAGGCAGCCCCCTGTCTGACGGAGGCATGGGAGTCCTCCAGACTGGAGAAGAAGAGAGGGAGGAGCTGAGACAGAGACGTCGGACACTCTTCGGGGAAGCGACGACATGAAGTTCCCACATGTGCCAGACACGCTGCTGGCTCTTGTCAGTGGGTGGGTCCATTGGTTTGGGCATGGGTATGGAGAACAAAGACATCAGTTTACTATAAATAGACAAGACACATCACACACACACACACACAAGTTGGTGAGTACGATACACAGTCTTTGTGATTGCTGTGTCAGTAGAGTACCACTCCTGACAGGTAGTGAGAGACAGTAGTATTACCCACCATCTCTGACCAGCCAGCTGTCATCTCTGAAACACTGCAGAAGAACCTTCACCAGGTCTGGGATGTGAGGTCCCAGAACTCCAGGAGACACCTGGACACACACAACATTCATACTTGTAACATGATATACATATTCCTGGACATTCTGTATTAGTAATGACGTGTCAGCTGATTTGAATGGTGCCACTACATGTGAATCAAATCCCCCGTCGTTGTAAACACATCATCACCCAGCCAGCATCAGCACATTCCTCATGTGTATATACCATGAATAAAACTCTGCATTCACTGTAAACAGCCCCCATACAACGCAGTACATGCATGTCCCATTCAAAACCACTACAGTATGCACTGTAAACACAGGGCTCTTACCTTTGTGCCCAGCTCAGCAATACAGGCACAAGCTGCCTCTCTCACTGCATGGTTGGCTGCCTCTGTCTGTGAGATATAGAACTCCACCACCTAACAGACAGTGGGGCATGCATTCCACATGACTTTATATATAGCTAACACTACTACACGAGTGATGACGCTTGTGTACCTGTGCAATGTATTTCTCAACGAGTTGAACTCCTTTCATTTCTGTGACTAATTTCTACGTCTCCTGACAGTACAGCCTCACACCTTCAGCTACATAATGCCTGGGGACCACACCCACAGTTGTATAGTTATGGCTAAACTTCCCTGGCAGTAACTAATGGTAAGTAATTGTGTGTTGTACCTGTTGAGGCAGAGGGGAGGTAGGAGGGATGGGAAGTAAGGTTCTCTTGCCTCAAGAGATGGCAGCTGAGTCAGGAACACTCGTGTCGCCACTGAAGATGACATCCTCACCTACAACAGAGTATATACAATAGCACAGCTACACATACAAATTGTATACAGAAGGCCAAATAGTGTGTACACACCTGACTCCAATTATCAGAGAGACCCTTGGCCATGTTTCTGGCAATGTCAGGCCAAAAGGCTGACACACTGGCAGTAGACAACCCTAGTAGATGCACACCATAGAATCATGAAGTGTAATCATTAGTCATGTTTGCACAGTAGCACACACACAGTGCAGTATATACCCACCAGGAATGGAGATGAAGGCGGCGATGACTCTGTGGCCAGTCTCTCTAACAAACCTGTTGGTGTGACTCAGACATGTGAACACCAGCTGGAGAAGGTCAGAGGTCAGAGGTCAGATATGTTCAAAGGCACTGCCACACTTCTCCACCACATGCTGCCCTGCAACGACAAACACACACCTTCGTACATCAAGTGAAGTACAAAACAGCCAAACACTGCAAATAACTTCAGGTTGTATGCATAGACATAGCACAGAATCTCCACACAGTTTATGCTTTTCACAAAAATTGTGTATACATAATGTATTACTGTATGGGGGAGATCCAGTCTGGGTATGGCAGAGAAGGCATGCTCCGTCATGACTTATTGCCCTCAATTACAGGCTAGCAGTATTCATGAACTGGGTAATACGCTACATGTACCACGTTACACAACCACACACACTGTGCAATTACTGTACAGATGCAACCCAAATTACTGACTCTCTCTGTTCTATCTTCGGTGTGGCTATTCTCAGGAGAGGAGGAGGAGGAGGATTGGCTCAGTTTCTGGGTCAGTTGAGTGTCAACCTCTCCACTGTCTCGCTCCAGGTTGCCCTCTATACCTCCAGTGATGTAGGGTAGCACCTCCATACACCCCCCCCCACAGCACACCTGCCACCTCACCTGGTGGAGGGCAACACACTTTACTTAAAAACCATAAAACACACCGCATTATACTGGAGCAGTTTCAGGGAGAAAGATATTGGACTTGCTTGGCTCACCAGCAGCAAGTCTCACTCTAGATTCATCATATTCCAATAGCAAAGGGACCTCCCCCTTCATCTTCTCCATGAATTGAGGTGAGGCTCCAGGCAGGAGGACCGTTGCTGCCATGAGACCGCCATGTTTGGCCTCCCAGGGAGAGGTCAGAGAGGTCACCAGTTCAGAGACCTCTCTCTCACCCTCCCTCCTCTCCTCCTCCCCCAGTCTACCCTCATTCACCGACTCCTGGAGCTGCTGCAGACCTTTCTCACGGTCTAGTCGCTTATTACTCTGCACCAGGGCCAGCCATGGGATGTGCAAGGACGACATGACACGAGGGCGTGGGGCCGGGGTGTATTGAATTACGCGCAGAATCCTCGGTGCGCATGCGCAGCTTTAGTGTTTTGGTGATGGTATATCACATGGTACATGTGTATTATACAGTAGCTGGCGCAGTAAGTGATCTCAGTCTTGTCTATAATGGCTACCGTAAGATTTTTCCCTATTGCTTTTCTGATGGTGCTATCGCCGCCCGAGGGAATAGTCGTGAATTGTGACACCGATAATTGTGACATGAGCGGCAATGGTGAGTGCTCAATGTGTATAGCTACGTAGCTACATCTGTGTTTTTCTGCCGGGCAGAAATAGCAGGCAAACTCTACGTATATACAGAAACCAGGCATTCCGCAGAGAAATTGGGTCATCAAGCGGTCAACGCGCACACAGCTCTGTTGCGCCGAGTGTATTTAGCGTATATATACTGTAGATATTCTCTCCGTTCCCGCAGTGTCCCTCTCTTCGTCTCGGGAATTTTGTCCTTCCCAACCGGTAACTGTTCAATGCAATGTAACGAAACCTCAAGATGGTGCACAATTTTTGCTTTCATGGGAGTGTAAAAATGCTCTTGGTATGAACACAGAGCGATTAGTTTTCTGTGATCCTGGACCGGTCGCTGAGATCAGTTGCCAATTCGGAGAGGTCTATGACGTCAAAGGTGACTGCATTTGCGATGAAACAGTCATCAAATCTGAAGCCACCTTCAACACTACTTCAATGTGCGATATGAAGCTGTTTTGCAGTAATGGAGGTGCAGAGAGGCAACATGTTTCTGTCACAATAGATGGTATGTGTATACAGCATGCATTCTGATAAACAATTTATTTCTGATGTATATAGGTCTTAACGCTCCAGTGTTGTTAGATAATTACACCATGCTTAAAATGGACAATGGAACTTATGAAGTGAAAGTGTGGTGGACAAAGGGTAACTGTGCCCCTGATGATGTTGAATACAATCTCACACTTACTAACACATCCTCTGAAGAAGCCGTGAATAATTATGTTACAAAACAATCGCAACAAACACTGTATCTTAATCCGGGCATTGAATATGTTATTGCTGTCACCGCTCAACTATGTGATGGTGATTTGAAGAGTGAAACAAGCAACAAACTCACTCTTTACATTCCCGGTATGTACAATAATAAAAGTATATACATACAAATTAAGGCTTTGCTTGTTTAGATTACATTAACATTGGTGAGCACACAAAATACATGATATTTCACTGTGACGTTTAATTTGTAAGCCTGCAAGTTCACAAATTTGTGAAACATATTAGTGCAACACTATCCATAATATATAAATTCTGACATTTCACTTGTTCTTAAGGTTTATAGCTATAATTCTTACCTTTTCCTACAGGCACAACTACCATTACACCGGGAACAACAAGTAAGCCACCCTAGTAAAAGATTATAATCCTCAGGAAAATTAAACGCATTAACCCATAGACTTGGATGATGTACGGGCATGTTTATCACATCAAAGGGGGGAAACTAACTCTGCTCGCTTAATATTATCGACCACCATTTTAAAAATATGTAAACTTGTGCTCACACTATTTTATGGGTCACATGGGTAGAAAGTGTATTATAACAAATGCCATTGATTTCCCTTCAGTGACTTCTAATCCTGCTGAATCAAATAACAGTAAGTTCATACGTTTTGTTTGCCTTTTTGTGTCTGAGGTTTGCAGATTGTTGTTTGTGGGTGACTTCTGAAGTGTTTTTAAAATGACTATAATTTAGATTCAGCTTAGCTACCCCTACAAGAGTAACCCACGATTAACTATTTTTTTATCACTGCAGCTGCTGCAATTGTTGGTAGTACTATATCAGTTATTGTACTTTTATTGCTGCTTGGAGTGGTTGTCTTTTTTATTTGGGTAAGTAGCATAATTTTTGTGGGCAATACACTTTTATCTCTCTCCCTCTCTCTCTTAATATAGTATTTCAGGATATGGAGGAAGAAAGGAAGAGAAGGGGTATGTTAGAATTGCTGTTGCTATGTAGCAAAATCTAATTACCTACTCTCATGGCCACAGTAGCAATCATTTTACTTTTGCATATCTGTATTGCACATGTTCACAAATACTCAGCAGAGCATGTACACGGTTTGTACACACGATCTCCGCCTGTGCACTGTCAGACTGGCATTCCACAGAACTTCAGCTACTTTCTTTGGCAGTGTTTCATCTCGTTGTAACACATGTGCAGCAATTCAATTTTTAGCCGACCCTTTTTACACATGCATGCGGCGGCCTACGAGGTTGAGTACGATCTATTCAGAGGGCTGCCTTGCTGTTAGAGCGTCAGTTTGATGGTCACAGCATTTATATTATAGTAAAAATAATGGAAACAAGTGGAAAAATCATTTCTTCAAAATGAAGAGGGGTATAGGGATGGCTCAAAGCACCGAAAAGGAGGAACAAGAGTTTGTTAAAACGCAAAGACACACAAAGCCACATGATACCATCCTATCTTTGTCATTTATATAGACTCATAGAAAATATATAATATCAAACAAAGATATAGGGATAGCTTTGTGTGTCTTTGCGTTTTAACAAACCCTTGGTCATTCCTTTTCTGTTCTTCGAGCCTTCCCATCCCCCGTCATCATGAAGAAATGATTTTCAACTTGAATTTATCCACTTGAGTAATTAATATTGTCCTCTATTATGTGTAGGTTGATTCACCTGCTATAAAGATGCTTTCTGCTATAAAAAGAAGTGGCGTTGCTGGACTGTATGTTGATACTAACCATATTTACTACTCATGTACAGAAGTAAATGAAACAACAAGTGAAAAGAAATACATACTAAGAAAATGCAATTATAATGGAGAATTGGTTAAAGATTTTTGTTGCAACAGCTTCGTCCGTGGGATTGGACAGAGTCAAGGTTTCATCTATGTTTTATGTTCCGCGGCTGATTCAAAAGTGGTTAAGTTGGACAGGAATTTAAATTCTGTGAAAGAGACAAATAATGATTGTGGAAATTATTTCGGTGAAGCATTAGGAATGCTTGTGACCTCGGAAAATGTACTGGTTTGTTCAGAGAAAAATGAACAAATATGTGTTTTGGATCTGAACCTTGAATCTTGCTATAATTTGGAACTAACGTTTGGTCCAGTTGGAATTGCAACATTTCAAAACCATTACGTCGTTACAGCCAAGGCGACTATTGGAATAATAGATATCGACTTTGATAAAGAGGCTTTGAAACCGGTTGATGTATTTGAAAGTATGACTAAGGGGGAAGTCAGCACACCCTTCAATCAAAACATTAAATTTCGAGGAGTATGTTGCAGTGATAAATACATATATGTAACTCAGGAATGTAAAAATAGTCCTGGATTACCCATGCTGTGCTTGCAGTTTGATGAAAAAAAGCATAAGCTCAATTATGTTTGTGAAGTTACTGATTTCGTTAGAAACTGTGATGAATTAAATGAGAAGTGTGGTCCTGTCATTCCTTTCTACCACAATAACACCATATTCTACAGTCAAGGAAGCTATGGAATAAAATTTCACATTATGAAGGCTACCCATAACCCAGGGGAGCCTATTGCAAGCAACAAAATGTTTGATGTTCTGTAAACTTTTCTTTAGACCTAGCAGTTCTTTGTTTAGCCCTTTAGTTTTTTGTACACTTGTAATACGCTCTTCAGAGTGGACCCGCAATATATTACGCTTCAGGTCCCTCACACTACCAGTGACCGTCAGCGCACTTTGCATGCGCGGTACAAGTGGAATAATCATTTCTTCAAAATGAAAGGGGGATATAGGGATGGCTTGAAGCACCAAAAAGGAAGATATCAGGGGTCATTACACAGCAAAGTTGCACAAAGCTACATGACACCATCCCTGTTCGATATTAAACTTTGCTTATAAACAAAAAAAACAAAGATATAGGGATGTTGTCATGTAGCTTTGTGCTTTGCTGTGTAATGACCCCTTGTTTCTTCCTTTTTGTTGCTTCAAGCCATCCCTATATCCCCCTTTCATTTTGAAGAAATGATTTTCCCTCTTGTTTCCACTATTTTTAACAGCTTATGACAACACTGCGTGAATTGTGACTGCTATAGTAGTGGCAATGGTGAGTGTGAACAAGTATATATAGCTATCTAGCTATGCAGACATTATAATTTGTAGTGTGAAGTTTGCAAACTTAGCGTGTTTTCGGACGTTTTGAGAGGCAATAGCTAAGGTATAATAGTAGCGAGTCGAGTCATAAAATGCACACTCATATATAACAACGGCTGAAATAGGAACTTCACCAAGGTTGTTGTGCCGCAGCAGAAAATCGCGTATTAGCGAATTCTGCCGTGGAGAATACAAATCCTGTATTCGCTAGCCAATTTATTTTGAGTTTGAGAGTGGTAAAAAGAATAGGGATTGTGTGACGGGGGGTGGGTGGGGGGAAGCTATCAGTGAGCTCACAAAAGGCCAGATAGCTATCCCATCTCTATCTTGTCTCCCTTCCTGTTCATCTCTGAAACTGGCAGGGTTTGTATTTAGCCGTATACTTGCAAAATTATCCAAAGCCACCTTCAACACCAGTTCAATCTGTGAAATGAAGCTGTTTTGCAGTGATGGAGGTGTAGATCACAATCAATGGTAATGTAAAATGACAACTATTGCCAATTACCCTTTTAATCATGGCTATACTTATGTAGGTAAAAATGAAAAGCACTAAAGTGCAAACCCTCGGCGAACTGCGCATGTGCGGTATCCCTAAAATTGATGGGTTGGGCTATTTGCGTTTACTCGCGGTCTCCCGTTAGTAGCTCGCAGAGAGCCTGACACGGGCTAGCTACAGTAGTAGATAGCATGCGAGAGTCGATACACGCCATTCGTTGTGACTTGTTGTGCCTTCAAGATAGACAGAGCAAGCGGACCCGGTCGAGGTATAATTATAAGCCTGTGCTAAATATAAGCGCATGCGCATTATCCGCAGCGATAAAAATGGCGACTACCGGCATGCCAATGCTGGAAGCGCTCTAGCTTTGCAACGGAGCATTTTCAGAGAAAACCCCACATATTTTCTGACCTTCATCGCCCGTTGGGTAGATGGTATCGTTTATGGGACGAACAGACATTCGAGAGGTGAGATGTCGAGTAACAGACACACAGACACACAGACACACAGACACCCAATGAAAAGCACTAAAGTGCAAACCCTCGGCGAACTGGGCATGCGCGGTACCGCTAATTGATGGGCTGGGCTGCTATTAGTATATATTAGTATATACTCGTGGTCTCCCGCTAGTAGCGTCTGACACGGGCTAGCTACAGTAGTAGATAGCATGTGGGAGTCGATACACGCCCTTCGTTGCGACTTCTCGTGCCTTCAAGATACACAGAGCAAGCGGACTCGAGCCTGTTCAAAATATAAGCGCATGCGCATTTTCCGCAGCGATAAAAATGGCCGACTAGCATTAGCCGTACAATGGCGGAAGTGCTCTAGCTCTGCAACGGAGCATTTTCAGAGAAAACTGTTCGAAATTCTGACCTTCATTGCCCGTTAGGTAGGTCGTATCCTTTGTGAGACGAACAGACACTCGAGAAGTGAGATTGAGAGTAACAGACACACGGACAGACAGACCCAATGAAAAGCACTAAAGTGCAAACCCTCGGCGAACTGGGCATGCGCGGTACCGCTAATTGATGCGCAGCGAGGGTTACGGTAGTTGGTTTGTCTGTCTGTCTGTCTGTCTGTGTGTGTGTCGACGCTTATTCTGGCACTACAGGCCACGAGGTGGCTAATGAGCGATACCAACGGCTTCAGAACTACGCGAACCTGAAAAATTATTTCCTGAAACGACTGCGTTCGACAGATATGCCGTGAAAACAAGCGAAAAAGCCAATATGCATAATCGCACTTGGCTTACCGCGACCTGATCCGCTCGCTCTGTGTACCTTGGGGGCTCAGGAAGTCACAACCAATGGCATGTCATGCTATCTACTACTGTAGCTAGCCCGTGTCTGACTCTCCGCGGGCTACTAGCGGAAGACCACGAGTAAACGCAAATAGCCGGCCCAGTCCATCAATTAGCAGTATCGCGCATGCGCAGTTCGCCGAGGGTTTGCACTTTAGTGCTTTTCATTTTCTTTGCAGGCATCCAGTCCTGGTCGTACGTGGACCAGGTTTACGAGACAAAATGCGCGCGCGCCGCATTGGAAACGCCCTCCTCGGCGCATGCGGCTCACTGATGCTGAGTTAGCAGAAAATGGCGTTGTTCAGTATGGCGTGTAAACAGTGGTACGCACGCGCGGTCGATGAGGAGGTCGGTCTACTTTGCTGAGAGGTCGGCCCGCTTTACTATTAGAAGTCGGTGTACTTAAAGTATTAGAGGTCGGTCTACTTTACTAGGAGGTCGGTCCGCTTTACTAGGAGGTCGGTCTGCTTTACTATGAGGTCGGTCCATTTACTAAGAAGTCGGTCCATTTTACTAAGAGGTCGATCTACTTTACTAGTAGCGTCGCTCAACTTCACGAAGCGGTCGGTCTATTTCACTTGAAGGTCGATCCGCTTTAGTAGGAGGTCGGTCCACATTTTACTAGGAGGGCCGCCAATACGGAGTAAGAACGGGAGCAGCGGTGGTGGTTGGCGCAGGCACCGGGACGCTACACTTGCCGTCAGTCCTCGACCTCTACGCTCATCCGCTGCAAGTTTTTTCTCGCGGGAGGGGCCCGCCCGTCACTCTAGTAAGGTAGAGACTCGGGTAGACCGACCTCTTAGTAAAGAAGACCGACCTCTAATAGTAAAGCGAACCGACCTCCTAGTGAAATAGACCGACCTCTCAGTAAAGTAGACCGACCTCATCGACCGCGCGTGCGTACTATTTTTGACACTGATTACACGCCATAGTTCAGTGACTACCGAGGAAGAGCTCAACGATCTACCGTAGTGACTTGCGACAAGAAACAAACGATCGCTTGATATGCGTTCACACCTCCGGCAAATTCGAAGACGTTCTGTGAAAAAATCAATGCTTCAAGTGGTTCCAGTAAGGAGCTAGCGGGTCTGAAGAAGAAGAAGATCAGGAATAATAATGATGATGACACCAAAATCGTGAAACCGCGTATGAGCGAATTCTCGCGTGGACGACTGAAGGTGCGTATGAGGTCTTGGGGGACATGTATAGGTAGATATGGGCCCGTAGACTATAGCTAGTATGTTATGAGATTTCACCCGCGTCATCCCTATAATTATAGAGAGTCTACCGACTCTCTGATAAGACTTAGTCTCTTAGCTTTATCTCTTACCTTTTCTTACAGACACACCAACTACCATTACACCAGGAACAACAAGTAAGCCACACTAGTGAACTTTCTTGGGCTACCAGAGCATGCACAGCTTTGTTAACTACCAGAGTGTTCGCATTTCCACTAATTACTCATTTTTATTTCCCTCAGTGACTTCAAACCCGACTAGATCAACCAGTAAGTTAGATTTTGATAGTCAAAACTCATATTTGTTAGGTTATTTTACATCCAATACCTCATTTTCAACCATAGAGGTCCATTTGAATTCTCTGTAGCTGCTGCAGTTGTTGGTGGTACGGTTTCAGGAGTTCTAGTGGCTGGAGGCATCATTGTTCTATGCATTATTGGGGTAAGTGGCATTCAGATTTGTGAGGTCGTATTCAACGTGTTAACGGTTCCACCCATTGCTCTGGGTGCGTGGTCTATGGCCCTAGTGCTATGGCAGCCACCTGAGTATTATTATTATTATCATGACACTGTTACAGCTGTGCTTCAGAAAGAAAATTGCTAGGATGGTTTTGTTGTGGGTTTCAATAGATGAGGTTAGTTTGTCTCTATACTATGTTCAAATTTCATGTAGTTTTCTACAGGTTGATTCATCTCTAAAGAGAAGTGGCATTGGTGCACTGTATGTTGATACCGAGCATACTTACTACTCATGCACTGAAGAAAATGTAGAAACAAAAAAAAGGGAAAAGAAATACAAACTACAGAAATGTACATATGACAGAAAATTAGTTAAAGATTTTCGTTGTGACAGCTTTGTTCGTGGAATTGGACAGAGTCAAGGTTTCATATACGTCTTATATTCCAAGCCCGATTCACATTTGGTTAAATTAACCAAAGATCTTAAATTTGTTAAAAAATACCAAACAAATATTGTAAGGATTTTGTGAGGCATTTGGAATGCTTGTGACCTCAGAGAATGTGCTTGTTTGTGCAAGGAGAAATAGTTAGACATCTGTGTTTTGGATCTAAACTTTGAATCTTGCTACAATTTGTCACTAAAAAAATTTGGCCCAATTGGAAAAATCAGTACATAATTACAGGTGAAGGAGCTATTGCAGTAATTGATATTGATTTCAATAAGAAGGTTTTGAAAAATGCTATTATATTCGAAAGTATGAAAAAGGGGGGAGACAGTGTGCTCTTCGACTCATTTCGAGGAATATGTTGCAGTGATGAATATTTATCAAGAGGGAGGAGATGGTCCTGGATTACCCATATTGTGTTTGCAGCTTGATGAGGAAAAAAGAGAGCTCAACTATGTTTGTGAAGTTAGTGACTTCTCCAAAAACTGTGATGACTGCAATAAAAGGTGTGGTCCAGTCGTTGCTTTCTACCATGGAAATGGCGAAATATTCTACTGTCAGGGAAGCTTTGACGAAAAGTATCACATTGTAAGAGCTGTTCATCATCCAGGGGCACCGATTAAAAGCAATAAAATGTTCGATGTTTATTAGTTTATATTAGCTCAGAGTTTTTCTTATTGTAAACCGGTTAGCTATGCAAATTTTGATCTCCACTTGCAGTCATTTATCCACTGTTGTTGTGCATGTGCATTATGTGCTATGGTACTTGTTGTGCTTGTGTGTGAGTGTGTTATTAATTTTTATAATTTACCATGTGAAAACAAAGAGAACAAGTCAGTATGCAAGTTAGCTTCCATTGGCTTACCTAAATTGTATCGCCAATGTGCATGGTAGCTATTACGTATGCAGTACAACAAACTTCAGTCCGTATAAAAGAGGTAGGGTAGACCCTTGTTTCCCTCGTTTTTCAAGGAAGTACACACCCTTCATTTATCCAAAGCAAGCTTCTGAGTACTCAACAGGACCAGGTGTCTAATCTTGGTATAATTAAACAGGGTACAATTTACCCAGCTGTGCTTAGCTACCAGGATTCTCCATTTACAGTGTGGAAAATCAGATCTAGCGACGCTATATACGTTCGAGGATGTCAGAAAGGGGCATAGCTCTGGAAAAATGATCCTGCCTCGATCTAAGAATTGCTAATGCTGTTTTAGCTGGGAAAGTGTGCTGAGTGCATGGCAACAGCATCTCTCACATCGGTTGCGCGTGCGCTATATGACGTATGCAGTTAGCGTGCGTCATTCTACGTCGTAGTCCATTTACCGTGCCGCGCCTTCGCTGCGTGCATGCTGACGACAGTTATAGACTTAGTCTACAGAGCCTTATGCAAAGAGATGTTCTTTGCGCTATTTATCTTCGCCACTTTAGCAACGACGTGTAAGTGAATTGCTGATCTAGATATGTTAAAATAGGTCACTTTCTCCAGTTGCTACTGTTGATCTGGTGGTAGTTGGAGGCAACAATGCTCTCTGTGTGGGTATGAATGTCACACTCCAGTGTACACTGATGGGAGGTGTCCTCGCCTGGTACACTCCTGAAGGAGCACTCAACTTCATCCGAGGAAGACAAAATACATCTTATCAAGGCTCCTACTATGGCCAGCTCATGGAATCAAATGATACTTATCTTATTTCAACATTGACATTCACCTTTACAACTGAGATTACCATCAACTGCTCTGATACAAGTCCAATTGCTGGAACTACTGTCATTGTTGAAGGTAGCATTTACAAATCTTTGGTTGCTACACACGTTTGCACTTTCAACAGTAACCAGTACTCTAGCTATACGTCGTTTCTAATTAATCTGGGAGGTTTTAAAGCATTAAGGATCTAAGTTAAACATGGGTGTATCAACACATAATTAAAGCTCCTGATGCCAGGACACCGAGTGCGCGGATCGACACTGACGCCCTGTGTCAGGATTCAGGAGGACTCAACAAGACATTCTCCTCAGTATCTGTGGTGTGGAACATCTGACACCACAATGCCCACATCAGTAGCTACGTGGTGACAGTTGATCTCCATCCCACCTGCCAGCAGTGGCGTCATTGCTGCAGACGATCCTATCTTCCCAGTCACGACAAACTGACCCTCACACTCCTCCTGGCCAGCAGTACTACATACAGTAATTGCTAGGAGCGTGTGTGGCTGCTTCCTCCGTGGAAGGTCTCCTGTAGCTCTGAACTCAGAGTATGTTACAGGTTGTTTCCAGAGATACGTTTGGTTATTTTGTTTGGTTATTAAATTGGGATTTTTATATGTGAACTCTCAGGACCTCCCCAATAAGTTGTTAAGGGCACAGATTATCCTCTTATTGAGTGCCGCCCCCCCGTATGTATAATGGTTTATCTCTAAGGTAGACCTGAAAAGAATCGAAGTAGTAAGTGGAATCCGATTGTGGTAGGTCTTACCATTATAACTTCCTCCCACACAACCCAATTGTTGGCAATGTGTTGGCACGGATTCAGGGCGATATAGCAGTTAACATTTCAGCAGCAGTTGAGAGCTATACAATAGCACTGTCCCCATGCCGCCCTGGGGTGGGTCTTCTGGGGCAATGCAACAAAAGAGGCCAATGGATCACAGTAGCGTGAGTAACGCACTTCATTGTCAAGTTATTGTGTTAAAACCTTATGTGAGGTCGAATCTACCTACACCGATTGGTATTTACTTGACAATACGACCTCCTTGAGTGAGTTGATCGAATACACTGAAAAACAGAATGTACAGAGTGACCCAAGCAGTAAGGACTATAATTACAGCTGAAAAAGGAAAGTTATTGCATGTCTACTAATCCTAGAGCACTTCTAAAACAAACGTAAGCGAAACATAGCTCGACCGATCATGTTATTTTTGTTTTTCAGGTATTATAAACAATCTCACCGCTAATTGACCACAAAAAGTATATTTACGTGCTATGATACTTTGTCCCACCCTCCTTAAAGTTAAGACGGTAAAACCTATTTGACTGCACTCACTCATATGCTATGGGAAAATCTTTAGGGTTTATACAGAAAGTGTTGGGGAAACGAGGACAACTGTTGCAGTGTTTCGACGGACAACACTGCACCCGAGGGCAGCCTGACAGTTGGTGCTCAAGGTGGAAACATGAGGTTGTCGGAGAAGGATGGTAGTTTGAACCAGGTACTAAAAGCTTTTCAATGTTAGCTACCTGTACAAAGGAACACGCGGATTACGGTTTCCTGTTAGTGTTCGCCTGCACTTGTGAGTGTGGAAGAGAGAAGACTCACGATGTTGTGGTAGAAGGAAGTTTTGAACCAGGTATTGAAAGTTTTCAATGTTAGCTAGCTACCTACTAAGGAAATTGATTATGTTTCATTTAGGTAAATTTCAGGCAAAACAACATGGTAACAGACAGAGGACAGACAGACACACACTACTTACAAACCTAGTACTATAACCCTCGCTGCACATGCGTGCCGAGGGTTACAATGTGCCAGACATTAATGTTTCTATATACCTTAAACCACCAAGTACTGACACCCTCATTTTGATGCCTGCTACAGTAACACAGAGTAACAAAATCGTGCTGGTACACAAGCATCCATGATGTCTAAAATTTTACAGTATCCTGATAATTATCAGATGACATTTTTACAGGCTATCAGGCTCCGCTACATTTCAGTCGGAAGGGTTTAAGATGTGTGCAAGCCTGACCGGGGTTTAACCACACAGATTAACGTTCACAATAATCAATTGCGGTGAACTTACAACCAAAGTCACGCCTTTTTAACATTGACATAGGCAATCTTTCTATTACGCTAGGATCTTAAGTAAGTAGTTATCTTCTTTCAATTCACCACAGAGGATGATACTGATATTACTGATGCTGATAATGATACAGATCTGGAGAATGCACCGACCAACTGTCCCCCTACACCCTGGATACTGGGAGCTGTGGCAATTTTCATTCCACTACCAACAGGATTCATTTGTGGAATTACTGTTATGAGACTGTTTCGCTCAATGCGAAAAAAAGTGTATTTTGGGTAGCTCTACTAGCTAAATAGCTAAGCTAATAAAATGACTATTCAAGCAAATGTAGCAATGAACCTCCAGCATCTCGTTGTGCGTGGTTGCAGAAAACGTGACAGACGGGGGCAGCCTCGGCGGCAACGACGACTAACGGCTGCGCATGTGCACGCGTGGAACTCCACCCACGCGATTATAACGTTCGGAGCATGCGCACGCGGAGGAGTTCCATAGAGCGCGCACGGTTCCGGTTTTGGCTACTCTCCAAGGAGGAGTCCCGCCAGCGAACGAGGTGTACCACAGGCAATCCTGAGTGCTGACTTAGTACATTCGACGTTGATCAGAAAGTGAGAAAAATACGCCTGTGTCGATCATTTGATATTCTTCTGTCTTCCCATCCCTGGAAGGTCGACCGACATGGCCACAAATTGGATCCCTGTGTTGGGTGCCGTACTTCTAGTGGCACTAGCAGTTGAGGCGATAGGAGAGAACAGCATTGCCTGTAACATGAGGTTTTCTGATGGTAAGTCGCAAATAGGGAAAAACCCAGGGAAATCCCCATAATTATATTAGCCACCACACCTACCCTGTCATTTAGGTAGGGTTACGCAGTGCTGTTGCTTATCCTTTGGATTGATATGCCGGAAATATTCACGTTTTGCTTTCCGTAGAAGGCTGGTAACTCTGTTTCGTGCACTCCTATATTTGGTTCGCCGAGGGTTTGCACTTCATTCCCAAGGCAACGCATCTAACCATCTTAGACTACAGCGCTAGCGACGCACAACAACGCACACTGCATAGAGGATGTACGGCTTACTGGGGTCGGAGCTTTTCGCTGAGGACGAACTGGAAGTAGACAGGCTATTTGCAGCTGTCAGCACTCAGCAGCCAGTTCGAGCAGGCGTACAACAACGACTATACCAGCAAGGCAGTAGAGCAATACACTAGGAAGTATTGCAAACAAGCAATAAGCAAACTAGCATCTCTAGTATTTTATTTGTTTTCCAGTCTCTCTCTCAGTAAAGGATGGTGAAAACATTTGTCCGTTTCACCCGATTACTCTTCGCTGTGTCGTAAACACTACTGTGAGCCAGGAACCATCTCCCTTTCTCTCGTGGAAGTGTACTGCCGCAAGTGCCGACAATTTCTTAATCTGCAGCGATATCGTCACCTTCAACTGTGCCTTTGGGAAGGTGGATAATATAATTGGATCATGCGACTGTGGAGGCTCGATCATAGTGTCCGAAGCCACATTCACTCCCAGTTCTACTGACGCCAGAACAATCATTTGCAGTGATGGAGCACACGAAGAAGAAATACCTGTTGTTCCAAGAGGTATGTACATGTTGGGGCTCCAGCTAGCTTTGGAAATGTGTCATGTTTTCGTGTGGTAAACCCTTATGTAAAGGTTGGCTAATGAGAGTGTCTGTGTGTATTTTTACGCAAAGTAATTTTTCGGTCATAACTATTACGCAAAGTCCATTTTTGTGTCATAACTACAGATTTGCACACGCCTGTCCTCAACTATACCGTGATATCTGGTGACAAGAGAGCTCGAAATGTGACCATCCAGTGGGCTACTCCTGACAGTGCCATAGCAGACATGGAATACGTCTTGTCTATGACAAATATTTCGTACTCTCAATCTTGGACCATCCGTGCAACACATCTGAATCTGACTCTCCACCAAGGCATTCATTATGACTTTACTGTCACTTCTCAGCGATGTGGAGGGAATCTTACGAGCAAGTCTAGTAGCCCTCTTCGTGTATTTTTTGAAGGTATTGGTTTTAATGGGCATTTGCATGGAAATACTATAGCCCTAGAATGTTGTAGTTTATAATGTAGGTAATAGATGCATAGTCTGCACCATGATCTGTTGTATCATTCCAATAGTTGCTGATACACCAGGTCTCCAACCAGGTGAGTTTCAGTGGTATTTTGGTGAATGATGTAGAATAAAACCAGGGTTTTATTAGTAACTATTTGATCAGGCACATTACCCAGCATACAGGTTGCTGTGGGACAAATTCCTTCTAGTATTCCAGTATCCACTTTTGGCAAGCGTTCCTTTCCTCTTTGCCAAGGAGGGAATTTCATTGTGAATAAAGTATTATCTGAGAATTGTATGTAATGGTGAATGTTTAATACGTCACCTAGGCAACAATATAGGGAATCTGTGAAAATAGCAGAGAGCATTATTTTTGCATGCCTGCGCCTGACCTTACAAACAGCCACACTGGGAGCAAAATCCAGGTAGCTGTGGGAGTATCACCCTGACTTATGCATACATCATTATCCTCATTCAGGATCCAGTCCCACTACTGCTACATCTAAAAAGTCAGGTATGTTGTTGACTGTATATAGTCCCTGTGGTAAGCACATGTGACTCAGGGTGGTGGCCCAGATAGGCTGTGTAAACATACATTGCATCACTACTCACATGTGACTAGTGCTTACTACTGCATATGTACTACCACACTACAGCCCCTGTTGCAGTCGTTTTGGGTGGAGTTTTTGGTGTTATAGCTTCTCTCTGTGTGGTGGTGTCAGCTATTATCGCAGTGGTAAGTTAACAACGATGATAAGAGAATTTACTCTTTCTCAACCTGTGTAGATTTGCTTCTGGAAGGAAAAGAAAACAAGTGGAAGTATGTTATTGTAATACATTGTAAAGTGTGTTTGTTATCAAACTACATCTTTACAGGTTGTGCAGGGTAACTTACATCCTAGAAATGTTTTGGGAGAAGGATTGAAGCAAACAGAGGTAATTTTAGCTTCTCTTAGGTATACATAGCTTATTAAAAATCACTCAACTACATATCTTAGCCTATGGATATAAGTAGGATGGTCAAGAAGCAAACCCTTGGCATTATTACGTGGAGAAAATACACACACACACATGTTGGTTTACTATGCAGTTCTGGCTCTGGGCATCGTCTACTTCTGTTTGCCTGGCCCCTCACGAGTCCCTAACAGAAAAAGAACCTTCACTTGGGCTTGGAAATGAACAAAGTGCCACAGCAGACAGATAGCTAGTCCCGAGGCCTAGCGCTCTAATCCTAGAGCGCTGTTTTTTCCCTTTATTAATTGCAAGGCAAAGAGAGTCCATCCTAGTCCTGGTAATAAGTTTTAACAGCTCTGTCACAAATCCTGTTTTAAACATTAATCTCTCTAAGTAGGCAGCCAAAACTTTGCACTTGCATTAGGTTGCCAATTTTGTATTCTGTATTTTAGTTGCCTACGCTAATTCACCAATCATGTAAACTGTCTCATCGTGATGCAATTGCTCATATGAGGGTTAAAGGCTGTCTGATTTTACCATATTTTAGGCTGCACAGTTAAAAAGACAAGATATTGGAAATACACAAAAATCTGGTATTGGTGCACTTTATGTTGACGGACAGGCAATTTACTACTCGAGCCATGAAACATTTTCCAGTGATGCACAAGCTCAATATACGCTGCATAAGTGTCACATGGACGGAAGGAACATTGCCACTATTGTGGGGTTTCATCACATTCGCGGGATTGGAAGGGATAAATCTGGCAATACCTACGTAGTAGACAGTTTGAACTCCCGAGTTATTAAATTTGACAGCAGCTTTATTCCTACTCGCAAGACGACATCAATTCGTGAGCCATTCGGAATTCATGTGACAAACGGTTATGTCTTCATATGTGACAACAGAAAGAACAAGATGTCTATTCTAAACGACAAGCTGGATCTCTGCTATGATATTAATTACAGGGGCTTACTCATCGATCCGACAGATGTTACTGAGCTGGATGGTACATATTTCGTAACCACGTACACTGCAATCGTAGCTATTGATGTCGAATTTGAAGAACAGAGCTATAGAGCACGGAAAATCGAGGCATTCACGATTGATGGTGAAGAGGAAGCCTTTAGCGTTGACAAGGAACTGCGTGGGATATGCGCTGACCACCAATTCCTTTATGTCGTAGAATCCAACAGCCGTCTGTTGCGTTTAGAGTATGACAGCTTAAGCGGCCAGTTGACATATGCAGGCTCACTCGGGGATATCTCACCTGTTGTCGTGTCTTGCCACGATGGAGAGGTATACTTCAGTCGGATCGCCCAAGACAGTAGGTGTTATATCTCTAAAGTTACCACAAATGGTAACGGTGAACTATTAGGTTACATAGACCTTTTCAGAGTATAATTTTCTAAGTTTTCAAACTGTAGTTTTGTATCACTAGTAGCTACATGGCAAAAAGCCAAATTCACATCTTTCTAGGTTTTGGTAGTTCAGGAGCACCGGAAGTTGTATAGCACTTGTTGCTCTCCATTGATATGTCTTGTACTCGTAGTAAGATGCATGACTCTCTTGCATTTCACTTTGGCCCTTTCTCTTTGAACGCCACACAATCATCACGATTATTCCAGCGATGAATCAGTTGGTAGTGTAATGATGAAGATCCCAGCAGCCAGTATCCATGGTTTACTTGGGCAGGACTCAAAATCTGAACGACCTCACTAACCCCACCTCTAAGTTTACTCTTTGTAAGGGAAAGGATAGCTACTCATGGTGTATAATATACAATGCGATGCATAGTACAATTTTCTAAGAAATGCGGGTAGTATATATATACAGTAGGTCCAGGTTAATATCATACCCGCTGTGCATCCACCCCAGCAATGGTTATTGGCCAGTAGTAGCACCCACTTAGCTGTACTAACACCAACAGCAGAGGGCTGAGTCACTCCCTAATCAACACCCACTTTGGATAGGGAATTCAGGCATTGTGCTGAAGAAACATAAAATTATACTTGATGGCCGCGCGGCGCGCTCATACTCCGGGTGTGTATACTGTGTATACCAATGTATTATTGTGAACTAGATAGCGCACAATGCAGTTTGTTTAGCTAAGCTAATGAAGCCTAGCTGTTTACATAAGCTAATAGAAGCCAGGTAGAGAATGGAGAGTTGCAAAACTCCAGCCCAAGTTCGTAGAATACCTAATTACAATGCAGTTTGTTTAGCTAAGCTAATGAAGCCTAGCTGTTTACATAAGCTAATAGAAGCCAGGTGGAGAATGGAGAGTTGCAAAACTCCAGCCCAAGTTCGTAGAATACCTAATTACGCATGCGCGATAATGACAATAATTGGCGAGCGGAAGCGAGCTAACCTAGTGGTCCGAACGGCGCGATTTTTCTATATATATGTAACCGTACGTCGTCCAACTGCGCATGCTCCAGCATTACGCGCTTCTTTTTATCCGAAAGGGATTTCAACATTTTCATAATGCTGCCTGAATCGAGCGGAATCAGGGGAAACGCAACACCTCCGAAGCTATCGAGTATTGCTGCACAGTCCAGCGAGAGATTTTTCTACATTGCCACTTGTTCCCTATTCCTGCAAGACCAATCAGATTGCCGGATTATGCCTGATTCGCGCTGTCGTCTGACTGTTTTTGACTCGACTCGAATTGTCTACTGCGCTCGGGTCGTTTCGGCCTACTTGGTCCTGTGCAATGTATCTCACTGTTTTGTGCACACACAAGAGTGACTCATACGATTAGACCCCAATTGTAAGCGCGCTTCCGCTCGCCAAAAATGCCATGCATTCGCCTACTAGTATTGAAAAGCACTTAAGTGCAAACCCTCGGCGCACAGTGACGCGCACGCGTAAGTAAACGCATGCGCAGTACCACTAATTGATGGGCTGGGTTTAGTTTTAGCTGTTACTCGTGGTCTCTTGCCAGCTCGCGCAGAGTCTGACGCGGGCTAACTACACTACTAGATAGCATGCGAGAGGCGATACACGCCCTGCGTTGCATCTTCTGGTGCGTCCGAGGTACGCAGAGCACGCGGATCGATCAGACCGTGGTAAGCCATCCCGTCCGTTGTGTATTTGCATATTGGCTTTTTCGCGCTGTAGCTCTGCAACGGAGCATTTTCAGAGACATATTTTCTGATCTTCGTTGCCCGTTAAGCGGGTTATATCCTTTGTGAGACGAATAGACACTCGAGAAGTGAGATTGAGAGTAACAGACAGACAGACAAACCCAACTAACTACAGTAACCCTCGCTGCGCATGCGCGCCGAGGGTTAATAATAATTATGCGGGCAAAAACCAAAATTGCTCAATTTTTCTATGGTAATAGACATTATCCGTATTCTGAGTAAAATGTATGGGAAAGCATAGGAAACGGTTTTGGCGTTTGTCTGCAACTATCAGATTGCAGAACGGCGTGGCCGCAGTATGCGCGGTTAGATACGTCTTGAAGGAGATCCTCCTTACGCTTTTGTGAGCGCCGCTAGTACGGCAAAAGCTTGAGAGAGTTCATTGTTGACTTTTCTGGTGCGAGCCATCGTGAAAGGCAAGGGTTAGTAGTGTACGCCTGGTAAAGGCGTTCTCCGGACCCCACCCACTAATGACGTTAGTAACCACCGCGGGTATACCGGTACGGGGTCGTTGATGCCACGCCTGATTATTTCTTCCGCGTGCGTGAAATAGGCTGGCTACGCCAGACTAATCATGGTACGAGTTTTATGTTTCGGTGACAGTCTCACGGAAGGCTTCACGTTTCAGGAGAGCGGGGAGTTCCATCCCTACTCCATCGCCCTCAGACGACACCTCCAGGATCACGGCCACGGCTCGGCGGAGGTGGACACCGCGGGGGTGTCTGGTGAGCGTGTCGTTCCGTCCATGCCTTGCCGTTTGGACCGCATCTTGAACGAGGCCGCTCAGCCGTACGACTGGGTTATCATTCTGGGTGGGACGAACGACATCTGCTCGGGTCTCCGGGCTGAAGATATTCTCCCGTCTCTTCTTGGTCTTCATGACAGTGCCAAAACGAACGGGAGCACGAGGACCCTGGCCCTGGCTCTCCCGCAGTTCCTCGACGAACTGACACCGGGGAACGAGGACGGCCAGAAGAGGGAGAAGGCCAAGTTGAACGAGGGACTCAAGGCCTACAGCGAGGGGTCTGGTGGCTCCACTCTGTGGGTTGACCTGTGGAATGGTCTCCCGTTTGGCTCCCTGCCAAAAGAGGAGAGGGAACTGTACTGGGCGGATCGTGCCCACATGACTCCCAGAGGATATGACAGGATGGCAGGAGTCATATTTGACTGTTTAAATCAGCATCTTGACTAGTGTCTGGCAAAACCAAGCTCACGCAGTTGCTTATTTTCCTGCTTTAGTGCTGCGTGTGCAACAATTGGCTACTATGAGGATCATTGCTGTCACACACACACTCAGCCAAACTACTTGAGGGATTGTGGAGGTTTTCTTGGTCTATGTATATATAGCTACTCAAGGAAAATGCATGGTGGAAGAGTGCTCCAATCACACAACTGAGTATGTACAGTACACAGTGGTGGCAGAAACAGTAGGCGTTGTTGAGCAAAACGATCTCTGGCAATCACGAAGAGACTCATATACTCCATATACATCACTGCAAGTGATTTATTGTCTGATGTATACATGGCAGTGACAAAACGGCATGTACAAATAGACCGACCGGTAAGGAGTAGCTGAAAGTGAAGATTATTTCAGAGCCTAGTATCTATTTGACAGCCATACTGTAATTAATATGATATGCAGCTGCATTTTTAACACGAGTTAACGGTGAAAGGATAGCATGATGAAAGGAAGGAGAATTTTATTATCGCTGCGATCACTCGCGCAATTTGTGGCAAGTTTTGTGTCTAATTGCGTAGGAGGCGACGCGCGTGCGCAGCGGTCGGTTTTCATAATTATTCATCACTCATCAGGCGACGGCAATTTTATTCCGGGGTGAACTATTATAGTTCGTGGGTTTTGTCTGGTCTTCTGACAGGTCAACTGCCGCGTGACATGGCGAGGCCTGTGTTTGTTGTCATCGCTCTGTGGTGTGCCGTATTCCTGGTGCCACTAGCAGCACGGACGAACGATGATGACTGTGATACGAGTATTCCTAATGGTTTGTTGATGGCGACGCGGGCGAAGCGGGGTCCCGGGGAAGGGGATTGTCCCAGGGAAATCCCCGCAAACAGAGGCGGGGTGGGGGGTGTTTTTTGGACTGGGTTTTTGCATGGAGGACTTGTGCACTAGGCTGGGAGCACTGGGAAAGAAGGATGCACACTTGGCACAACTCTACATTGCCTATCTACTAATGATAATGCAAGTCTTGTCAGTGAACCGGTGTGTATGTAATCTGTGCTAGCTACTTACTTTACCTTTTATGAATGTTTACTGAGCGGTTTACTGTACCGACACGAAAGAAGTCAGTATAGGCTAGTTGTTGGTGAAGTTCTAGTGCTTGTGTCAGTTTCAGGCCTCTGTGTTGTTGTCTCATGGTCATACTATAACACTCAGCTACTCCCTTTAACCTTTGGCGCGTACCAGGGCAGCTCTTCTTCCTTTTTTTTGAAAAGAAGAGCTGTCCTGGGTGTAGTTGACTTGTTTGCTTTGCCTTGCCTTGCGTTTCTACCTCGTTACCAAGTTGTTGAGACATGCAGCGAAGGTTACTGTACTTTGTTTGTAGGTCTGTATCTGTCTGTCACACAAAGGAATACTGGCTCGTTTTGTGTGACAAGGACATCAAAACTAAAATGAGAGTTAATGAAGGTTTTTTCGTCACAAATGAGTCTGCCATTTCGTTTTACGACTCATAATACACACTGATCTCTTGCATAGACATGCATGAATATGCATGCCAATGTTCCTCCAGCTTTTGTCTTCAGACAACAGAGACTAATGCGTGTTTGATTCTTACCTTGTTTATTGAGCATTGAATTGAGTGGCCCGTTGCTGCCTATGAAAATACTTTGCTAATATCGTTGCAGGGTTGTGGTTTACCGTCCTTTTTAACTTTTTGTTCTTTTCATGAGTCCCTTTCGACCAGATCCTTTGTTCCTACATGTCACGTGGTTAACTCTTAGCACAATATGCCGTGGAAATGTTCATTTCTTTCGCAGTTACCCTATCAATAAAGGATGGTGAAAGTATCTGTCCGTTTCACCCAATAACTCTGCGCTGTGTCGTAAACACAACTCATCACCAAACAACGTCGTTTCTCTCGTGGAAGTGTGCTGAAAACAGTGATGAAAATGTTGTTCTCTGTGATCCTATCCTAAACTTTGACTGTGGTTTTGGGATAGTTGAAAATGTGACTGGGTCCTGCGAGTGTAATGATGCCCTCATAGTGTCTGAGGCTACCTTCACTGCCAAGTCTACCGATGCCAGAACCCTCATTTGCAGTGATGGAACACAAGAAGAGGAAATTTCTGTTGCGCCAACAGGTAGCCAAACTCTAGGTCCAGGGGGATTTAGCTACAGGTGATAGATAAACTGTGTAAACATTGGCTGATGGGACTGTCTGTTTGTATGTGAGTAAGTTTCTTTAAGGGTCTGCAAAAATAACGAAAACTGCTAAGACAATGCATAATTCCACAGGGTAGCTACTAGAATTGAAAAGGGGCAAAATATACTATTCGTGTCCACTAAGAGAAACCGTGTCCTTATCCTTTTCATTACTACAGTGTTATACACTCCAGTCTTGCGATATACCATGATACACAGTGACAAAGAGACTCGAAACCTGCGACATGTAAGCATAAAGTGGACGACACCTGACCGTACCAAAAAGGACATGGAATATAAGCTGTCAATCAAAGATGATTCCCGCACCACAAACTGGACCACTGAAGTTCCACACATAAATCTTAATCTAACAGTTGGAGTACTCTACACTGCTACCGTGTTTTCTCAGCGCTGTAATGGGGGTCTTAGAAGCAATTTTAGTGTTCCCCTTGACATCTTCCTTGAAGGTACGATTAGGATTTTATCCCTTACCTTTGCCTATAGCTAACCTGTATAACTTTTCTATGCAGAAATTCGGGTACCAGAAAGTTCAAGTACGTTTCTTTTGTCGATACATAAAGCTGCTGTACCTAATACTAGAAGTTCAGTCACTATGTATGTTGACCAATCAACATACCACTCCTATTATAGTGTCCAAGCATAATATTATAGAAGAGTGTTACTCGGCCTTTTGCATTGTTACCCCAAACATGTTTTTCTCCCTGCAGAGATTCCAGATAGCACATCAGGAAATCCAAGTATGTTTGTGTTGTGTAACTGCACACTGCATTTGTGTACTGATTTTGTGGTTTTGAGCTCCTGCGTAATCCTGACTCATGAATGCTACCAGAGAATGTTAGTCCCGGCTTTATTTTGAGGCATTTGTGGGTCCACTCCACATACGTATGTGAAGAAGGTCTCACCACCGAGTGAATTGTCTTCAGTCCACCTGTCCAGGTGTATTTAGGAGATCTTTGGTTCGATCAACTATATCACTGATTTGTCTTTCCCCACACATTCTTAAAATGCCAACCTTGCTGCAGTAATCATCTTAGTAATGTCGTAAGTGGTGTCCCAGTGCATACACTGATAACTATTACATCGCAGCATTTTTGGTAGCTTGCCAAAAGCCTGTCTATAGTATGACAGCACAAATTTGGGGTTTGCCTTATTGTGTTATTGAACCAAGCCTGCTTAGCTACCCTGGTAGAGAATTTGTCTGAGAGGAGAGTGCCGTGGGTTTAAGCCAGACCCAAGGCAGGCGTTAAACTTTTAAAGTGTAAAAATTTAAGAAAGAATTTCTGTCAGCTATATATACCTACTCTACAGTGTACTATACAGAAGAATTTGTGTTCGCTATTTTTATTTGTGTAAAGAGTTTAGTACTGTGTTTATATATACTTTTCCATTCAGAGCAGACATCGGGAGGATCTACATCAAAAAGATCAGGTATTTGTAGATAGCCTAATTTGGTTCACCTAGGGAATTTTGTGGTGCTGCCAATGTAAACATTATAGCTGACTGGCCTCAAGAGTGAGCACACTGTTGGTAATCAGTATAAAGTGTGAGCATGCAAGTTGTAGGACAAGGCAAGAGAGAATGCACGGGCAACAATAGTCACTGGTTAAGACAGTTTGAGTGAGCTTTGCCTGCGACCTCACACTGCCTTGCTGGAGGAACCGAGCCTCTCTCCCTTCACTTTCCTTGAAGTTGCAGTTTGCTGCTGTGAAACAAAGGCTTAAAGTTAGCTGTAACAATTTTCCTTTCATGGATCTCCTCCCACTCATAAGCATCATAAGCACAGGCCTGTCCCACATATCACAGAGATTGCTCCATACATTGTATATACCCACGTACACAGAAGGGGCCTTAGTGCTAAGGCCACTATATTTTCCTTACAGATTTTCCAGTTGGTGAGGTTGTTGGCGGTGTGGTTGGTGGTGTGGTAGTTGTTGCAGTTGTTCCAGTTGTTCCAGTTGTCATCATAATTATTTGTGTAATTCTGGTAAGTTTGTGTCTCTATTAGGTATCCAGCTCCTATCCAGTCTTCTCTCTCTGTTCAGGTTTACAAAAGAAGGAATAAAAGATGTGCAGAGGTCAGTTTGCCATGCAATTTGCCACTTTACAAAAAGGGGAGACTTGGGATATCCCTCTCCCTTGTTATTGTCTCAACCCTTACAGAATGGGCAACGTTAGAGCCAGTTTCCTATTTCTATGCATCATTACCATTCAAGATAACATTGACCTACTTGGTGTAATATTGACCAACAAAGAGGTGGCCGAAGCACAAAAACCTCAGCATTTACCTTGGACGAGCTAAACTTTTTGCTGCATTTGTGTTAAAGTTTACATCAAAGCATATTTCCTGACACTGTTTAATAACAGAGCAAATAATAAGTCACACGTTTTCTTGAGCTCATATCCCTTCCCTTTTCACCTTAGTATAAAGTTTACTTCATAAAAACAATTTACTCCCAGAATGGTGAAAATTTCGAAATGCTAGCATCATTGGAGCTTGATGAGAGCGGAGTTGGAGACTATGTTGGAGAACAACTCACTGAAACTGAGGTAGGCTGTAACAGTACAAACTTAGGAACGGGGTAGTGATTGGCATTGGTGGCGGAACCGGGACTGCTAGTACGGCTGTAGCGTACTAAAACTGAAGTAGTAACACGCCTGACTCCTCGGTTTGGCTAACTGCTTCGCTGGTCTCCCCATGTGAGGGCCCAGGCAGCAGGACTAGTTACACTTCTGCACGCAAATGCTCCTGAGAAGAAATGCCTCGAGCACTAACACAAAATGAAAGGCACTGAAGTGCTAACCCTCGGCGCAGTGGGCTGATTAATGCCTCGAGCATAAGACAAAATGAAGGGTCAGGGCTAAGCTGCATGCTTGGAGAGATTGCACATGTGCAAACCTAACTGTCTACGCATGTTCTGTCGCCTATGATTGGTAGCCATGTGTTTTCTGCCATTTGCTGCCGCCATGAAAGTTGCTCAGTTTAATCGGCTGTTGGCTATGCTCTGGCGCCATGGTTTTGATCAGTAAGTGTGTTTTTGTGTACATGTAGAAGAGAGGTATTGTGACAGTAAAGAAAGATGAAAACCGAAAGAAAAGTGGCGTTGGTGGACTTTGTATAGATGGGAATAAAACCTACTATTCTTGCTGTGAAAAATACGAAAGTAAAGCAGAGGAAATGTATACACTTCATGTACTTAAACCAGATGGAGAATTGATTCTTGGCGGGTTCAAACACATACGAGGGATTGAAAAAGATAGCAATAACTGTTACTACGTTGTAGATAGCTCTCACAAACGGGTGTTGAAGTTTGACAGTAACTGGAACCCACTGCGCAGAACAAGTCGAAATTCTACGGAATACGGCACCGTTTTGAGTGAACCGTTTGGGATTCTAGCAACTCAAGAGTACGTTTTCGTCTGCGCATACAGAAACAAGCAGATTTGCATATTCGACCACGAACTGAGTCTGCATTACAGGATCACTCACGATTACCTTCTCTCGGGTCCAACAGACATTGCAGTGTTTCGTAACACATTCTTTGTCACCATCAAAAGCTCAATCATTGTGTTTCAAATCGACTTTGACAGCAAGACATATAAGGCAATGAAGATGGATAGCTTTGTAACGAACAGAAAAACCGAGATTTTCAAACAAGCACTCGAACTAAGAGGGATCTGTGCCTGCAAGCAATATCTCTATGTCGCAGAGAGTAGTGGGCGTTTACTGTGCTTGGAGTATGATTTCGAAAATTCCCGGTTGGTGTATGTTGATTCGATCCCAAAATGTTGCCCTGTTGTTGTTGTCCATGATGCTGGGACAATTTACTATAGTCGACGTACCACTGAAGGGAAGTTTACCATCGCTAGAGTACATCATGATTCAGTAACCAATAAAATGGAAACTAAAGATCTTCTTACCATAGATTAGATGTATTTTGTATCGTCTTTGTTTTTAAGATTCGGTAGTATTTGACTATAGACACAGTTTTTTTAGCACTCTATATTGCACTCGATACCCATCCTCATCCATTTTTGATTCTGTGGTGTGTACTTAGCTAAGGCATCAAATTTTGTAACAGACAAATGTGCATGCTGCTGTCATTAGTGCTCAAACTTTACAGTGCAATTGTATTTGTGATTGCCGAGCGCGTTAGCGTGAAGCAACTACTCCGGGTTGTATTCTCGCACGTACGTGCGTACGTAACGCTTAAGAATGTGAATTAGTCACGCTTAGGAATGTAACTTTCCGTCATTCGTAGGAAGTCTCGTGCGCGCAGATTCGTAAGGAAGTCTGCTGGCTTCGTTCGCGCGCAGTCAGTAGAGCGCGCGCATGAGCGGCCTATATACTCAGTCGGAGAGTGTTTACGCATTGGCGCGAGGCGCGCATTCCTAGTATCTTATTTTCCCCATTTTTTTACACGAGTAGTGGCTTACTATAGCGTTTATATACTAGCTCAAGTGCTGCATAGGGGTGATAATTACACAGTACAATACAAGTATATAGCAGTGCACTCGATTACATAGCTACACCTGTTGGTTTATAATACACGCGATAAAAAAAGGTACACAAGTTATGAAACTCATGTCTTTCTAGGTTTTGGTAGTTCAGGAGCACCGGAAGTTGTATAGCACTTGTTGCTCTCCATTGATATGTCTTTTGGGCTGATGTACTCGTAGTAAGATGCATGACTCTCTTGCACTTCACTTCTGTCCTTTCTCTTTGAACGCCACACAATCATCACGATTATTCCAGCGATGAATCCAGTTGGTAATGTAAAGATGAAGATCCCAGCAGCCAGTATCCACGGTGTACTGGGACAGGACTCTGTTGAAGATTTATCTGCTGTAGACACCTTTGTAGTTGAGACTTCAGCTGGGAGTGCAGTGTGTGCATAAATAAAGTGTAACTAGAAAAGGGGCAGTTGTCTATATATATGTGATGTGGTGCAACAACATGTTTTGGAGATTGGTGTGAGCCTTACACAAAACAGTTACATTTGTGTGTGCAGGTTTTAGCTCACTTGTATCTGCTGTGTCATTCTCTGGACAAAGATGGCGCATCAGATTCTCCCTTGATGACAGGATATCACCTATAGGCAGTCAGTATGAACACGTTAGCGTTTTGCTTTTTTCCATAAAAGCCGATGTATAGAAAGTGTCCTTGCTATACACTATTATGCAATGCTATACGATTCTCTTTACAGTTCTTGAGTTTTGGGAGAACACAGTTTGTATGTCACTAGCTAGGAAGTTGCATTTCCCAAAGGCTTCGATGAAAACTTTCTCTATGCAGTTGTTGTTGGCCCAGCAGTGACCAAACAATGGCACATAGTATATATATATAGGTGTGTAAACACCTTACTGGTAGTGTATATGCATGTGGATACCTGTTCCAAAGGTTCCCTCAACCACGACATCTTGTTTCCCACCCCTGGTACCAGCAGCCACTGAGAGATTCATCCCAGGTCCAGTAGTGGGAGTCAGGAGTACAGAAATAATGTCCTCTGCTCCTCCAGCTCTGTCTGATGTCTCAGTATAGCTATCTGCCCCAGGTACCATCCTGTACACAACTTCACAGCTGGCCGAGCCTTCGAATCGCGTTAGCGGTCGGCACAAAATCTGAACAACCTCACTAAAGTTTTTCCGTACATCCACTGATAAAAGGTCATTTGTAGCACCTGCAAATGGAATAAACAGTATACAGCACATTCTGTATAGTTCCACCTCTATAATATACTCACGAAAAATGTAGATGGAGTATAGTGGTATGCATAGTACAATTTTCTAAGAAATGGGTATATAGTATATACACATTACCAATGTAAAAATGTTCATGTGTCAACAGTTGAATCATTCATATGTAGTGCTGTGTACTTACTGATTGTCAAGTTGTTGCAAATCCGTCCGTCACTGTATCCATCAGAGAGAAGGTTCTTTGCAATTACATTCACATTGTAGTGGAGTGCCGACATGTCACCAATCCTCTGAAACTTGTGCTTGCATTTCGTGCTACTGCACACACTGTGATCAATAGCTCCTAATGTCACATTGATTGCAGGGGCAGCAATTACAATGGGGATGGCACTGATTATGTACTCCTGAACACTAGCCGTGATACTAGCTGTAATGTCTTCCTTCAAATCCTGCAAGAGAAATGTGTTCAGTGCTCAGTTGTGTGTCGGCGTGTATGGATATTACTAAACTTCTTATATACTTACTGGAATTGGGTCCCACTCTACTTCAATTCTCTTGAGGTTGTTAGAGTAATAGTCATAGATAGGAAGAGCTGTACATCTTGCCACAGACGGGGGCACTACAAAATCGAGAGTGTATATACTTGAAAATGTGCTTCTTACATGAAGCAAAGGCTAACCTTGTACTTTTATGGCAAGTGCAGAGCTAGCAGGACCTTCCACAGAATCACCACAGCTCCTGGCAGTGACTGTGATGTAATACTGCTGGCCATGGAGGAGTGTGAGGGACAGTTGTCGTGACTGGAAGAGAGTATTGCCTGCAGCAATGACTCCACTGGCTGGCAGGGGAATGGGAGGATCAACTGTCACCACGTAGCTACTGATGTGGGCATTGTTGGTGTCAGGAATGTTCCACACCACAGACACTGAGGAGAATGTCTTGTTGAGTCTCCTGATCCTTTCCAGGGCCGTCAGTGGTCGATCCGGCGCACTTGGTGGACCTATAAGTAGTTATTACAAGGGTGCACACATCCAAAACGACTTGCTATACCTTCTACAACGAGAGTAGCTGAGTTACTTGCAGTTGTATCAGAGCAGTTGATGGTAATCTCAGCTGTGAATATGAAACTCAGTGTTGACTGAGATGAGTTGCATTTAGTTCCATGAGCTGGCCATAGTAGGAGCCTGCATTTGACTCATCCTGTCTCCCTCGGACAAAGTTGAGAGCTCCATCAGGAGTGTTCCAGGTGAGGAAATTTCCCGTCAGCGTACACTGGAGCGTCACACTTGCACCAGTACATAAAACATTGTTGTTTCCCACTATCACCAGATCAACAGCAGCCACTAGAGGAGAGGAATGCAGTTTTACAGTGACTCGTAACAGGCTGTAGGTTATGTCTGCGATTTGCTTACAGGTCGTTGAAAAAGTTGCGAAGACGAGAAACACGGAGTAGAACATCTTGCAATGCGAGTTGTGTGCGTGATGGTTAGCGCGCATGCTTATGATAAAGAAGGCGGGGCAAGCCCCGGTCACAACGTAAGTGATCATGGTTCGGGTTTTATGTTTCGGTGACAGTCTCACGGAAGGCTACACGTTTCAGGAGAGCGGGGAGTTCCATCCCTACTCCATCGCCCTCAGACGA